CACCCCCAAGCCCAGCACAAGTAGCAGCCAACTACAGTTTGCTGCGTAGCTCATGCTGGGTGGCCCTGGGCAAGGCACTGGCACAGGCTGACTTTGCATCTCCAGGGAGGCCCCAGAGACAGTGCACCTGGTGGTCAGACTCGACCACGCTGGATTACAACCCTACCACATCCACGAGTGACACACTCAAGGGGTACACTTGGTGAACACCAAAGCCCCACTGAAGTAAATCCATAGGGGTGTCTCCAGCACAGCAGCTCTTTGGCTGTAGTTGCAGCTGGTCCTCACAGCCAATTGGTCTGGTGGACAATTCCTCCCAGTGATGCCAATAGCAACCAAGGCTCAACTGCAATAGCCCACATAGGGAGCACCTAGAAGGCCCAGTGCAGGTGACTGGGGAGGCTGAGCCACTGGACACTATAGGACACCTACTACACAAAGCCACTCTACAAATTCCAGGAGACATAGCAGCTCTACCTAATACATAGAAACAAACACCTGGAAGCAGCCAAAATGTGGAGGCAAAGAAACATGTCACAAAGGAAAGAAGAGAAAAAAATCTCCAGAAAATGAACTAAATGAAATAGAACCAAGCAAGCTACTACATACAGAGTTCAGAATAATGGTGATAAGGATGCTCAAGGATATTAGTAAGAGTATTACAAAAACAACTGAGAAAATCGATGACACAATAAAGTACCAATTTGAAGTGAAGGCTACATGAACTGAAATGAAGAATAATTTACAGGGAATCAACAGTAGAGTAGAGGATGCTGAGAATCAAATCAGCAATTTGGAATATGAGGAAACAAAAAACACCCAACCAGAAGAGCAAAAAGAAAAAAGAATCCAGAAATATGAAGATCATGTAAGGAGTCTCTGGGACAACTTCAAATGGCCCAACATTCGTATTATTGAGGTGACAGAAGGAGAAGGAAGAGACCAAGAAATTGAAAACCTATTTGAAAAAATAGTTACAGAAAACTTCCCCTACCTGGGGAAAGAAATAGACTTACAAGTCCAGGAAGCACAGAGGGTCCCAAACAAGAGGAACCCAAAGAGGCCCACAGCAAGACACATCATCATTAAAATGCCAAAGGTCAAAGACAAAGAATCTTAAAAGCAGCAAGAGAAAAGCAGTTAGTTACCTACAAGGGAGCACCCATAAGACTGTCAGCTGATTTCTCAACAGAAACGTTGCAGGCCAGAAGGGAGTGGCAAGAAGTATTCAAAGAGATGAAAAGCAAGAACCTACAACCAAGATTACTCTACCCAGCAAAGCTATCATTTAGAATTGAAGGTCAGATAAAGAGCTTCTCAGACAAGGAAAAGCTAAAAGAATTCATCACCACTAGACCAGCACTACAGGAAATGTTGAAGGGTCTTCTTTAAGAAGAAGCTAATGAACAAAAGAACCTGACAAACTAAATGGATCCAGAGACATTGACGCATGCAACAGATGATCATATTTCAGAGGGAAGAGGGAAGGGGACTGGAGGGTGGGAAGAGATTAACCAAAGATGCTATATGAATATATGCATAACCCATGGACACAGACAATAACAGGGTGAAGGCCTGGGGAGAGGGTGGGAGTGAGGTGGAGGGGGTCAATTGGGGGGGAAAAATGTGACACCTGTAATACTTTCAACAAAAAAGATAAATTTTAAAAAATAAATAAATGATATGATCATCAGTCAAAATTGCATTTCTTTGTGTTTATACCCAAACACATGCTTGTATTTATACGTTTTCATATGGAAATTTTAAAGAAAAGTGATTAAGTAAAGGAATACCAAAATCTATACTTATCTTCCAAATTAAATTTGCAGACGTAGAATACAATAACTAGGAGTACTTTTTTTAATGCTCTAGAGATGACAACCAAAAGAAAGAACAATACTTAGGAAATATAAAGTGATTGAAAACATAGAAATACGTCCCATTAAATTCTCCGTGTAACCTGAAATGGTCTGCAAGCTTTGTAAGGGGAATCGCTAATCTTGGATCAATTTGGAAGTGATGAAATCAGGATTGGTGACTGTGTGAGTCTAGGAATTTGGTCAAAAGGACAAGGGGTAAAGGTCTGGACCTGTATCACGATGAGCCTCTGAGGATGCCCCTATCAGAGGGGGTGCTTGCCTAAACCCCGGACTGAGGCTTTTACTTGTGATAGTTCTGGGTTGTGTGGGTAGATTCTGATCGGAGATACTGTCCTCAGTGGACCCACCTGGAAAGACTGCAGAGAACCTGACAATTCCCCCTTCCACCGGGAGTTCTCTGGGAAGCTCACGAGACTTCACTCTGCTGGTTTACTCCTATGAGAAGCTACCTGAGCCTGAGGCCTACCAGCTTGAACTTCCACTCTCTAAATCTCAAGGCTCCTACAGTTCATTGAAAGGGTGACTCAGACAAGATCCCGAGGACTGGAGGAAGAATGCTCCGAGGCCGGTCCCTGTCTGTGACCTCCCTGAGTGGGCTTCCCCAGTGGGAAGTTGAAGAGCTTCCTGTGGAAGATTTACTGCTCTTTGAAGTCGCTTGGGAAGTGACCAATAAAGGTTTGTACTGGCCCTGAATGCGGCTATTTGACAGATTGCTGAAGAACATAGATTAGGAGAGTGAGTTAATAAAGTGAATTACCAGTAAGTAGGTATTCAGACTGAAAATGAGTTTAGGTTACATTTAACCAGGTCTGTTTCAACAGGCAATGAAAACTGAGACTTGTGTAGATGTGTTGAAGAGAGAAAAAGTTGAAAATACTAGTCTTTGCCAGGGAATGTGCATTTAAATTAAAATTTGAAATCCATACTGTGGCAAAATAGAAGTAAAAAGTTAATATTTACTTTTTTGGTTGTATGATTTTTTTTCAGCAAAAAGCACAATTTTGTGCTTTATTTTAGGGCGAACTGTACCTGATCAGGACCAATTAGAAACTTTAACTCCATATACTGATAGCAATTTTATGAAATATTTATTAATGTTTCTAATAAATCAAGATTAGATTGGAATTAAAGTTTTAATTTAGAAGCAGCTCAGAAGGCATAATACTGAGCTCCTATCATGAAGAACAGAATTAATTTTTCAATAATATATACATAGAAATGATAAAATAAGGAAGGAAATAAAATTAACAAAATTAAAATAATTTCCCAATAAGGTATAATTCCATTTGTGTTGGATTGTAAAAGGCAAAGTGGAACTCAACCTAAATGATATTAATAAGAAAGGTACTTATAAAATTATAAAAACAGAAATTCCTTATGGATCGATATCCTCTAATTTTAAAATGTCAGGAATATTGAGGGAATATTAGTAAGAAAAAGTAAGTTTTGAAGGTTGAATTCTCCAGGGTCATGAAGGACCAGGCCATGTGACTGATGGGTGAAAGGCAGAGGTATCTTNATGTCAAGAATATTGAGGGAATATTCGTAAGAAAAAGTAAGTTTTGAAGGTTGAATTCTCCAGGGTCATGAAGGTCCAGGCCATGTGACTGATGGGTGAAAGGCAGAGGTACCTTGTGGAATTTGAAGGGTCTGAAATGATACCATGAATACGATTACATTACTTCCTTTTGGCTAATCAGAGCCAGCATAAGCGCAGAAGTGGGGGAATTATATTTGGCATCTGTTCAGACTTTCCCTATTATGCTAAAAGTTCAAAGTTCTCATGTGTATGCTTTCATAAAAATCATAACATCAAAATTAAAAATCAGTTCTGCCTGTGTAGAAACGCACAGAATGAACATAAGAAAAAAGCACAGCCTTTTTCTTTGAGGTTTAGTGAGGGGGAAGCAAAGAACAGAAACCTTATTATGGAGAGGGGAAGTCTTTTATGAATACCTGTTTCTAATGTTCTTTTTCCCCCAGTCTCAAGGTTTTTAAATAGGCCCAATGTTCCTGGGAACAGAGCCATGCCTGTTACACATAAACCTCAGACTGTGCCTTTAAATAAAGGTTTGCTCTACAGAGTAGGCAGGAACTCGGGAATACAGCTTGTTGGTGGAAAAACTTGGAGGGACTTATTAGCACCAGGAAACAGTTCAGAAGATGTCTATGTGAGTTCCAGCACCTAAGCAGAGAGCCCTTTCTTCTTCCTTCTGTCCTCTCTATTTAACAAACCTTAATGCAACATTGTCTCCCGGTGCTGGGCTCACACTGGTGAAAACTGTTATCCATGAATCTTGTATCCTGATGACACGCACGCTAATGCGAAGGCCCGGAATGGTGCCTGGCACAAAGGAAATGCTCAAAGGGATTTTTTTTTCTTTTTAAATGAAGGAATGAATACATTTATTTTCAACCTCTACTCTTCCTTTGATACTTACTTTCTTTCATTTCCCATGAAAGAGAAAGGGAATTTTGTTGTCTCTAGAGGGGACTCACAATGTGATTTACCCAAGTTGATATCATCTCTAATATATCTTTTTTTAAAATATCTATTACAGTCTGATCTTTCAGAGATGTTTATATGAATGGACAATTATTGTGTTCATCTCTGGCAATACATTGACATCATAGTTTCTTTTTAAACTTTACTTTGAACTTTTATTTTCCTCCAGTTCATAGCCAGGCTATGAGACATCGTAGAGGTCATGACCCAAGCCCTCTGTTTCATAGATGAAAACAGACATCAACAGACATTAATGACCAAGCAGACTGCAGGGTTGGGACTAGCAGTTAGATCTCTGAGTCCACTTCTCTTTTTAATTACCACACAAGAATAAAAATGAAAACATCCATTGCCTAAGTAAATTTCCTATAGATGAAAGAACGTAGTACCTGCACTCAAAGATCATAGATTTTTGAGACTTTGTAAAAACATCCCTTAAACTATCTGTCAGTTTCTTCATGAATGAAATGAATGTAATGTTTCAGCCATCTTACAGTGGCTTGTAGTGGCAAATAGGAAATATATTTATATCCAAGAAAACACCAGGTGAAACACACAATCTATGGAAAAGCCATGCTTGGTACACACATAGCTTTAAGAGGAGCCCTAGTCACCCCACTCCCTTTTTGTCCCGATTGCTATGTCTGAGCCTCTCCTGTATAAAATACAGGCTGTCACTGTGGTATAATCAGGGTGGGGTGTGCACATGGTCTTGCTCTAAGGGTCTCACCTCCCACTACCTGAGACTGCAGCTGCTTTGATTTGAACCACAGACCCAGCAAAGCGCTGGGCACGCAAACATTTGCTGACCGTTGTCACCAGTAACATTTACTTTCTATCCTACCAGACCTACTTCCTCAAAGAATGATATTCTAACTGTATAATGACTACTCCTGCTTCTACAACTGTGTCTTGAGACAGAAGGGTCCAATTATTAGCTATGTAATACTGAAGTCATATGATTTTCAAATTCCGTAACTTTTAAACATTTAAAAAATAGTGAAGATACATCCTAATTTATATGCACATATAAAATGCCTTATTTGGCTGCTGTACATATTCCATACTGCTTTGGAATCCTGGTTTTAGCAACATCAGCAGTGTTTTTGGATGAGAACTTGGGGTTGTAGCTGCTTCAATGACATATATGCCAAGGGGGCTCGTCTTTTCTTTCTTATGAAAAGCCTGATACTTTGCCCTCACATTAAACATAGCTCCCATGTTGTTTCAGGGAAAAATATAGATCAATAAAATACAAAGTACATGTTTGAAAGTGAAAGGTAAGTTCAAATTCAGTGATCTACACTGCAGCAAAAACAAAGATTCAATAAAAAATATGTGTTGGTGAAACTCTGGTTTATACCTCACATTTGAAAATAGGAATGGCCCTATGTCTATGCCATCGACTATAATTAGCATGCCAGGAGAGGAGTTTGTAGTAAACAGAGTAAAAATCAAGGGAAACTAGTTGGTGTATAAATATGGGAAGGACAGAGAGAAGCTAAATTGGTGCTCGAGCACATGAAATTTCAGCAGTAGCTGTTACTTGGACACAGCGTAGCCCCTTCTTGGACCACTGTAGGAGGAGTGAAAGGTGAGCATTGCTGCTGAGGGCATGTGTCCTGACAATGGCTATTTGCCCCGTTTTGATGATTCAATGTGGATAGAGCATTAAGCCAAGTACTGCTTCATTCCAATTGTCTCTTCAGATTTCTTTGAAATGTTTATACTGCTCTGGTGTTGCCAACATGCTATTCTCTGACATTCACCCAGAAGGGGCTTTAAAATATCCATGAATGGGTATTTAAAATAGTGACTATTTGTTAGTGTCCTTTAAGCACCTTCTTTTAGAAAGTTAAATAAACCCTTGTGTTTGATGGATCCTAAATAGTTACTTAAAAATGGAATCCTAGCCTGGCCAGGTGTTGCTCAGCGGTTGAGTATCGACCTAGGATCCAGGAGATCTCAGTTTGATTCCCAGTCAGGGTACATGCCCAGGTCTCGGGCTCAATCCCTAGTAGGGGACCTGCAGGAGACAGTCAATCAATGACTCTCTCATCACTGATGTTTCTATCTCTCTCTCCCCCTCTCCCTTCCTCTCTCTGAAATCAATAAAAATATTTATTCTTAAAAAAATGGGAACCTATTTTCATGCCATTATCACTTAAATGCATTATTAACCTGAATGATAATGGAATTTTTTTCTTTTCAACAGTTGGTGGCATCTATACTGTGATTCAGACAAAGGCTAGAACAACAGCAGACGAATGGGGAGACAGTTATTTTCTGATTGGTCCATATTTTGAGCAAAATATGAAGACTCAGGTGGAACAGTGTGAACCTGTAAATGAAGCTGTAAGAAGAGCAGTGGAGACAATGAATAAGCATGGCTGCCAGGTAAAGCATCCTGACCTCAACTTCACTTGACAAGTCTCAGTAAGCCATTATGGGAAAGCAGACACAATTTACATTAACTGCCAAGATAAGACCATTCATCTACTTAGGAAAAAGGAGCAGGTTTGTGAGAAAGATGATGAACTTGACTTTAAATAGGTACATTTTGAGGCAGGTTGTGAGGACCATAGGGAAACTCTCTAGTAGTATAATAGGTTTACAGACCAGCAGAAGGTACAGGGCAAAGATATTTCTGGGGAAGTCATTTGTGCCTAAAATGTAATTGAAATCACTGGTGTTGATAACATGCAGTGGAAGTTTATAGACTAAAAGCAGAAGTTTTGATCCAAACTTTGGGGATGTCAGCATGTTAGAACATTTACAGTAAAAGAAGTCAGAGATTGCAGAAGTAGCAGCACAGCTTGTGATGTAGAACCAAGGATGTCCAAATCCTAATCCTCAGAACCTATGAAAATATTACCTTATGTAGCAAAAAGGACCTTGCAGATGTGATTATATTAAGATCTTGAGATGGGGAAATTACCCTGGATTTTCAAGGTGGGCCCAATGTGATCCCAAATCTCCAGGGTCTTTATAAGAGGGAGGTGGTAGAATCAGACTTGAGAGATGTAACAATGGAAGCAGAGGTTGGCGTGATGAGCTTTGAAGATGGAGGAGGGGACATGAGCCAAGGAAAGCAGGGGGCCTCTAGAGACTGGAAAGGCCAGAAAATCGATTCTCTTCTAGAGAATACAAATGGAATGAAACTCTGCCAGCATGTTGATTTTAACCCATAAGACCGATTTCACACTACAACCCCCAGAGCAGTAAGACAATTAGTTTGTGTTATTTTAAGCCACTAGTTTTCTGATAATTTGTTGCCATAACCACAGGAATAATGAGGTCAAGACAAGGGAGAGAGAGTCTCGAGTATGAAGGAGGGACTAAGTCAACAAAGGATGCACCAAGGTCATTTTGGTTTAGCAATATTAAGGTCATTCGTGGTAACCTTGTTAAATGCAGTTTGAAAGGAAAGGGGAGTTAAGTCAGATTGCAGTGGGTTGAAGAATGAATGAATGGTGAGAAAAGAGTATAGAAGCTGTGGCTATGAGATTTTTCTATGAAGAGGTAAAATGAATTAAGTAGTTTCAGAGAGGCATGATTTTGAGAATTAGTGTTTTATTAAATGTGAGGCCTGAACATATTTATATGCCAAAAATAAATATCTAGCAGATGGAGAAGCTGGAAGTTCAGAAGAAATGGGTGACTGAAGAAAGTAAGGCCACTGAGAATGGGAGAGAGAACATGATCCAAAGCGCTAGTGAGAGGGTCATTCTGCCCCCCCTTCACTTAAACAAGGAATAAACGATGAATGAAGAATTCAGCACGGTCTTACCCAATGTTTCTGATGACCTTATTAAAGTAGGAGTTAAGGTCATCTTACAAATATTAGGAGGCAAGTGTTAAAACAAGAGACTTTGAAGAGAACTTGAAGTTCTTAAAAGTGTTCAAGGAATATATAAAAGAATTTCTGGACATCTTTGATGTGCAGCCATGTCTTTTTAGTGTCACAGGTGTACATGACTGTGACTCTCCAGCAGCCATCAGCAGCCTGAGTGAAAGTGCACAAACATGAATAGATAAAGATTCAGTGTTGTTTAATTTCAGCATTTGTGTGATGGGGCAAATTGGCAAAAGTCTTAGAGGTAGCTGTGTGACTGACTGAATTAATGGTTGAATTGATGGACAGTCATTTTGAAAAATGTAATAGGATTAGAGTTTGGGCTGCTAGATTAACTAGATAATGCATTTTAGACAATATATTTAACTAGATATCTGGCAGCAACCATATCAGTAAACACTTTGAGTAACATTTTTTAGTAGGAGGGATAAGAGAAATCATGTACATTTGTCAACAGAAAAACACACACCATATTTCTATCAGGAAATATTTTAAGTCCTGTTGCATAAAGGAAAATAAGCGACACCATAGAAATTATATCCAGTTGCAAGTTGTTAAAGATACAGAGCAGTTCATCTTATGACTCTATCATAAAAACATAGACTATAATATTAAATCCTAAAACCATGAGCTCAAGGTCACAAGAGTGATCACATGATCTAGATGCCTTGTTTCTAAGTGACCAAATTTAATGAAAAACAAAAACTTGGGGATTTTAGATGAATGGATGCAAGCCCATTATAACTTCAGGCTCAACTTATCAGATGCTTTGTGGTATCACTGAGGTTTTCTATAGAGCCTACGTAATCTGCAATTGAGTTCTAAATAGAGCTTACATCTTCTGAGCACAAATACATTTCCTCCCTTCCATTCCCCAGCATTACTACATGGTTCTGTGTTCTTTTTATGGCAGGTACACTTCGGAAGATGGCTGATAGAGGGGAGTCCTTATGTGGTGCTCTTTGACATAGGCTATTCGGCTTGGAATTTGGACAGGTGGAAGGGTGACCTCTGGGAAGCATGCAGTGTCGGCATCCCTTATCATGACCGAGAAGCCAACGATATGCTGATATTTGGATCTTTAACGGCCTGGTTCTTAAAAGAGGTACAGTTTACTGTATAGTGATACAGTGAAACAACAGAGGAGCTGCATGATTGTGTCCTGTGCCCAGCATTGCCCAGCAATGATTCCATGACCCTTAGATTAAGTAAACTTTGAGATGATACCATTATTGATTGTCCTAGTACATTTCTGAGAAAATGTTCAGCATTTCTCAAACTAAGTACCAGTCTTTGGAACAGGGTAATAATAATGCTTATTAATATATAGAATGATGCATATAAAAATTCAATTATATTTCCTGCTACATAGATAGTACTCAATATATACTCAAGAAAAAAATAATATACATCATGCACTATGTATATGAATTCTAGAATCTGGGGAATAGAAAACAGCTTGAAATATTTGGTTTTGATTATGCATGAGTACTTGTGTAACTGCAGTGACTTTCAGATATTTTCATCATTAATTAAGGTCTGAAGGGATCCCAGCAGGTGCTAAGGAGTCTGTAGCAGTGAAATATCCCATAGATGCAAAAAAAAAAGAATATTAGAAACTAGTACTTTTTATATGAACCAGGCCTGCACTCTCGTAAGTCCTCAAAGCATGGCAGCTCACTTTGTTTGCCTTCTTTGTATTACCTCAAGATAATGATGCCTAACCTAAAAATTAGATGGTGAAGGAAGAGCGTCCCTAGCAAAGCCGGGGTGTGGCCTAAGGCCAAATCACAGAACTCCATGTGGGGAGTGTGTTCCATCTGCCTACTCTTTTTGCTGATGAAGTCATATTCCAATAGCTGTAACAGGCTGCCTCGATGACGTAAAGGAGAGGGTGGAAAAGCAGTCCTACTGCTTCGTGTTGGTGACAGAATAGGAGAAGGGCGAGGGTGCTGGCAGATCCGGGCTAATGACCCATACGAACTCTTGTTTTAGCATCTGTTAGTTTCATCAACTCTTTCTCTGCTAACTCCTCCCTGAGCCACTTCCCCCAGGGCCGGAGCCAGCTTTAGAGTGTGGGTGTGTGCACATGTGTGTGTCTGCCCCTCCTTTCTGTCAAAGGGAACAGAGGGAGAGAAGCAAGAAAGTAAGAGCCCAACTGCCTCTAAAGTAAAGTGGTTCCAGAGAGAGAGATTGTCATTGGTTCAAAAGGTAAACAAAGACACTGAGCAAACACCCCAAGGCTTTTCTGGGCAAGTTCTGTTTCACTGTCTGTCACCTGTTTCTGCTGCACCATTGATGTGTGCAGCTGTTCACAGCTGCGGGGAACTTTGTGATGAGCAGATACTTTAAAATGCAAATGTTTTAGCCTAAGTCAGTGGTTCTCAGAGTATTTCCCAGACTGTCAGTAGCATTCAAACTTGTAAGAAATGCATATTCTTGCCCCCCAGTCCAGAATCATTGAATTAAATGATGTGGGAATGGGACCCAGATGTCAGTGCTTAACAAGCTTCCAAGTGAGCCGAGGTATGCTAAGTGTGAGAACCACTGGGCTTCATGAACATGCCATTGAATCTTATAAAACACACTTGCTGAATCTGCATGCTTCACATTTAGATCCCTTCAAATTGTGCTAGAACTTTCAGGCACAGTACCTTTCCTTATGCTGTGGGCCGTGAGCAAGATCAAGCTTCACCCACAGCTTTTCTAAATGCTCCTTTCCTGATGTAGGTGACAGACCATGTAGAAGGCAAACATGTCATCGCCCAGTTCCACGAATGGCAGGCGGGGACTGGACTGATCCTGTCTCGAGCCCGGAAACTTCCTATCGCTACAATTTTTACCACTCATGCCACACTGCTTGGGAGGTATCTCTGCGCTGCAAACATTGATTTCTACAACCACCTGGATAAGGTAAATAGTCCCACCACCTTCCCCTTACTGCCCTTTGTTCTGATCTTGGAAGCTAAAGGATGAGAAGTATTGATCTTGACATTTCATCTGCCAGCGAGGTGGCAGAAATGCCCTTTTAACACATCAATATGCATGACAAAGCCGCCCCCGGTGACAGAAAGCTCCTAGGGTTTAACGGCTCAGAGTGCCCCAGGGTGCAGCAGTGCGGGGCAGTGCCGCTACTTCGGAGCAATAGATCCAAGATCCAAAGGGGCAGGGAGGGGAGGGAGTAAAACTCTGGACACAGGGTTGAACTCCTGTCTGCCCTGGAGCTTGGGAAATGCTGTGAGGATTCTGGACCCACACACAGCCCTGAGTGGCAGGTAGGGACGGGAATTCTACACATACAGCTTGCACCAGGAGCCTTACCGCCTCTATCCTCCAAGTGAACAGATGGTCAGATTTTTCCTGTAACTCTGCAATGCATAGGTGGATTTTTTTGTAGGGGTCAAATAAGACAGAATTTATTAAAAACAGGAGCGTGACTCGGCTGGCTGGTGTGGCTCAGCAGTTTAGCACCGACCTAGGATCCAGGAGATCACAGTTAGATTCCCCATCAGGGCACATGCCCAGGTTGCGGGCTTGATCCACAGCAGGGGACGTGCAGGAGGCAGCCGATCAATGACTCTCATCACTGATGTTTCTATCTCTCTCTCTCCCTCTCCCTTCCTCTCTCTGAAATCAAAAAATATATATTTTTAAAAAACAAAATAAAAAACAGGGATATGGGTCCGTGGTGACCAAATAATTATATGTTTGCTCATTTGAGAAGACTGTGTGATTCTAGGAACCAAAGTTATTCAGTTTTGACTTCTTTCTTCTATTTTCCATCAGTTAAACCAGATTAAAGTATGTCTTTTATATCTTATATCAATAATATCAAAAAACATGTGCATACCATAAAGTTAGGAGCTTTGCAATTTGGTATCTATATTGCCAATCAAATCAGTTTACCACTTTAAGGTTCTGTTGTACTATCAGGAAAATTAGGGCACTGGAAATTTGATTTCTTTTTTTTTTTTTTTTAATGGTTTTATTGATTTTAGAGAGATAGGAAGGGAGAGGGAGAGAGAGAGAAACAACAATGATGAGAGAGTCATTGATCGGCTGCCTCCTGCACACCCCTGACTGGGGATCGAGCCCGCAACCCCGGCATGTGCCCTGACGGGGAATCGAACCACAATCTCCTGGATCCTAGGTCGATGCTCAACCGCTGAGCCACATCAGTCAGGCGGAAAGTTGATTTCTAAAGGGTTCCCAGTTTAAAAAACTGCTAGGATTCTATGAAACAGAATGTGTGTGTATGCATGTGTGTAATACATAAATAATCCTTAGGTAATGGCTGTGAAAAGCTATACTGCTATCTCAAAGACACTTTCACACTGAATGCAGGAAAGTTTTTTTCTGACAAACTTTAACACTTGGAAAGCAACGAATGGTCCTAATGAGAGTTGACCTATAAAAAGGTCAGCCTACCCTAAAGGTCAATTGTAAACTTAAGGTGTACATTTAAAATAAAGTCACCAAGGGATTCAGAAAGTCAGAAGATCAGGGAAATTTCTTAATGGCATACGATATTGGTAGACTAATAAGGGCAAACCAGTGATCTGTGATAAGCTCAATGACCATGTTTCCTGGAGAAAAGCAGACTTTAATTTTTGAGAAAGAGAAAATGTTAGAGAGGCATATAAAATATTTACTGCAGAATACTTAAGAGCACAGAGCACAGTCACACTGGACATTTTGCTATTTTCTGCACATGCCATATGACTTTATATAACTTGTTTTTTAGGGCAGCTAATTTTTCATCCTAAAATAACCTTTCCCGAAATTGAACTTTCACGTCCCAGTCCAAATGCCATTTTATTCATCCAACCAACTTGGAGACATAGAGATGAATAACTCATGGTTCTTGCCCTAGAAAATCTTACATTCTAGAGGTAATACTGACAATAAACTTACATAGTGTGAGATACTTTTCTCTATCCTGCTCTGACCTTGTACCTTACTCAGGCACTTACTCATTTCTGCCTAATTTTTACCCATTTTCTCACTAATTTATTTATAAACTCTTTGAAGGTAACAGAAACACATAAATTATTCAACTAATATTGGTTGTATGAGAGATTTGGATGAATAAATGAGACCAGCCATATAAAGATTTTAAGAAAGACTTCCGCTGATCCAAGGATACCACCTAGAACCCTGATTCAAGCATTTTTAGAGATGTTTGCAAATATTACAGTCAAGAAAGAATATTCTAAGAATTTCCTTGTTCTAATATTTAGAATCATTTAATAAATCTTTTTTTTTAGTATTTTCCTGTATATGATATAAGACAGTAATTGTTGGGACTTACTTGTTGACTGAGTTAGAGCCTGAGTGAGAAAAAAGCAGGTGAGAGCACAAGCTTGGAGTCAGGCTGATTTGGATCAATAGGGCTCTGCTAAGATGCTTACTAGGAATGTGACCTTGAGGGAGTTCTTTAACCTTTAAAAGTTTCAAAACCCCCTCTATAAAATGAAGACAAAATAAGTGTCTTGGTAGTTTATGAGGATTAAATATGATATCCTGCTTAAAAGAGTGCCTGATGCATAGTGTTGAAAAGTTTCTAATAGGAAAAGCATATTTCTGATACAATGCCAGAAACTATATAGCTTTTTCTCTTAGACACTGCTACTTCCATATGCAGCTATATTAGACATAGCATTCAGTAACTAAGCCAAATGGCAAAAGCCCACAACTGTTGCCAACTATTTAATTGTGGGGGGTTGGCTTATTGTGTTTGTGTGTGTTTTAAGTTAAGATAGCAGAATACTGAATGATTGCACCATCTAACACACTACCTAATTAAAGTAACAGTCCACTCTTGAAATTATATAGTGGTAGGACTTCTATAACCATGGAAAATCATTTATCCTTTCTCTTTGTCAGTTTCCCTTTCAGTGAATTAACAATAATTATAAATATCTTAATTTTTGGTATCAAGTTTAATGTCAGATTTATTTCATTGTTTATGGGCAAATATATGATAAGGACCTTGGGGAAAGAGTTTAGCTGAGTATTTATAAAATGTGGGACAAGTAAAAGTATAATTAAAATGCCAAAAAAATATCAAGATTTCTATGTGATCATAACAAAGTGGAAATATCATTTACTCAGGGGGTTAAATAGCAGTTTAGAAGCAGAAATGAAATAAGCAACACCTTTTTAAGCATAAGTAGCTCTGCACTTAGTGGGTTTAATAAAAATTTTCCTTACTTTTTTGTGGGCATAAAATTTTACATAGCCTTGGGGGAACACAATATGAGAGTCTGTGATTTTGTTTGGCTTGTGCAGAAGAGTCAGTGTAAATAAATGTATATGTGCTTGTTTTTGTGTTTTGTTTTTAACAGTTTGACATAGACAAAGAGGCTGGGGAAAGGCAGATTTACCACCGGTACTGCATGGAGCGGGCTTCAGTCCATTGTGCTCATGTGTTCACCACGGTGTCTGAAATAACAGCAATAGAGGCAGAGCATATGCTGAAGAGAAAACCTGGTAATGATTACCCCAGCATTTCCCACTGATCTTTCAGTTCCAAATGACATGAGAGTCTGAGAATTTCGTTTAAAACAAACAAACAAAAGGCATAAAACAGTAGAGGAAAAAAAGTTTTGGCTGCTGAAAATGCAGATAAGAGCATCTGCTCCATTGGTTGTTCACAGTAGGCAGTAAAACTATTATAATCATCATTATTGCTTTTAATTATACTATGCCATTGTACCAATGTTATTTTGGTCATGTACTCTTGATTTCTTATTTCCACAATTTATTGTGAAAATTTATGAATTTTCAATTCTATGATAGTCATAAGCTAGAAATATTAATAGACATCTGACTTTATAAATTTAAATATTCTTTTACTGCAATGGTACCCTCTCTCAAAAGAGCATTTTCATAATGATTTGATTTTTTGCTTTTCCAGATGTAGTTACTCCAAATGGCTTGAATGTTAAGAAATTTTCAGCAGTACATGAGTTTCAAAATCTACATGCAATGTACAAAGCTAGGATACAAGATTTTGTTCGAGGTCACTTTTATGGGTATGTTTTTCTTTATTTAAAAAAAAATTGTGTGCGATTTTAGAGATCTCTAGTATAGAGAAAACAGTGTTGTTATAGTACATGTTTATCTTTCCCAGAATGCTTTGTACTTTAAGAGAATTCCTGCGTACATTTTGTTTGAAATGTGCTTTATTTCATTTGAAACTGTTTTGTTTTGTTCTAGTCATCTGGACTTTGATCTTGAAAAAACTTTGTTCTTTTTCATTGCCGGGAGGTATGAGTTTTCAAACAAAGGAGCTGACATCTTCCTGGAGTCCCTATCCAGGCTAAATTTCCTGCTGAGGGTAAGGAAGCTCCAAGATGTAATAAAATGCTATTGTAGGAGGACTTGCTTCTGGGGGGCAGTAAAGAGTTTTCTGGCTTCTTAAGTAGTTTTCCTGAGGATGTAAGATTTTAAAGCTTTAAAATGACAATCTTATTATAAAAATGGCTTTGATTATTCCATTTCTGTATTGGGATTGCTACACTGTCCACTTGTGTATTTATGTCGTCAGGTGTATTTTTAAGAGAGTCACAAGCTTATGCTCTATGTTTTAAGATGACATTATAACGTTCTCCCAGATGAGTTTGTAACCACTTGAAAAATAAATATAGAGAAATCAAGCAAATAAGAACAACATTTTACCTTTTCAAACACTGATAAGGATTAATAACAGAAGAGGTGGCTTGGGAATACGGAACAATAGGCTTCCTGATGCTGAACTTTGGTATTAAGCTTCGCCGTGTAGCCCAGGCAGCTCTGGCCGTCGCCATCCTCTCCCAGCTGACCTTCAGAGGAACAAGTACAGCACAGCTGTCCTCTGCAGAACCGGGCAGACACGCACAAGCCCTGTTCCTCGCCCAACTCGACGACCACACCTCCCCCCCAGACTGAGAGGCCTGGACAGTGAAACTAGGAGATCACTCACCCACCACATAGAAACATGAAGGAAGGGGAAGGAGGCCCCCTACTCCCAACAATGTAGAATCACTTTTTGCTCAGAAAGGTGGGATTTAAAATAGGTTATCAACTAAGCAAGAAAAACAATTTTTTTAAAACCTGTGCCAATAAAAGCAACCATAAAGATGGTACCACATCAAACTACTGATTAAAATTATTGGCTTATATTAAAATCCTATCACCTGAAATATAAAATAAATAACAGTAAAATGCTCACAGGTGATCAGTGTAAAATTTCAATCTTATCGCAATACTGAGACAATCTAAACTTTCCTGAGCTCTATAATACTCTTCAACTAAATATTTATTTTTTGGACATAGATTTATTCTCGCCTTAGAGCAAACATTGTAGCATGTGTGCTAAAGATTTACAGAAACCACATTAATAAGGAAGAAATACACTAATAAAAACCCAAGTCTGCAAAATAAGACTGATGACCAGAAAGATTATTCTAGTTTATACAGCTTATTTTAAGTAAATAAGTTTATTTTTTCTAGACTCTCATATGATTGAAATTATAAGATGTTTACGCTTTCTGCCCCGGGCTACCCTCACTCAGCATATTCATATTGAGATTCATCAATGGAGCTTATATGAGTAGTTCATTCTTTTCATATTGCTGAGAAGTAGGATGTTCTATAGCTATACCACTTTGTTCCTTCATTCATCTGTTTGTGGATATTTGGGTTGTTTCCAGTTTTGAGTTGTTGGAAAAAAGCTGTTATTTAGATTTTAATGCAAAAAAAAAAAAGGTTTCACCAGAAGGTGTGTAGATTTTCCTTGGAGACCTTGGCTCTGGTAGGACTGGCACTGAATCTGGAGAACCTTAAAAAAAAAGGCTATGGTACTTGAGTCTTATTTCATCACATTTTCTGGTATACACCTATTCACAAACTTTAAAGATGGACTCACAACTATATCAAACATGTATTATGTTTAGGGACATTATGAATTAATTTATGCACACATTTATTAAATATTCACTTTGTTTTTAGATGTGAAGAAAGAGCCAATTACTATTATTCTAAACATCAAAGATAATTACATCCCTGGAGAAATGAAAAGAAGGCATTCTCTTTCCATATGGTACATTTACTCTTTTATAGCACATCGGCTACTCCTGAGTGAGTTTCCTATTCTATGGCTTCCATAAACTTGAAGAAATTGTCAGGCCCTAGAGTGCAGAGCTGCATTTAGGTGGTAAAATGCCCCACACTCAGGAGATAGTCATTCCCAGAATGTACGAGCATTCATCTGTTCATGGTTTAAGTGAGTTTATGCTTTCATTCCCATGGCTGTTTGGAATGCCATTTCCTTCTGAGAGATGCTAGGCCAATGGTATTTGTGGGAAGAGGGGGAAAAACCCATAGATTCTAGAGTCAATAAACACCAGTTTGAGTCTCAGCTTTGCCAACAATCTGTTAGAGGAGGTCAGATTCCTGTATCCCACCTCCATGCCTCTCTTCTGACATTAGTAAAACAAGGGGAGTGACATCTATTGTGCACAGTGATTACTAGGATTGGGTTAAATTATGCATATAAAGTGCCCAGCCCAGTGCCCACCACAAAAAAATTTGCTGAACATATGCTTATTTCTCTACCTTAGGACTAAAAAAATAAAATGCAGTATCATGAAAATCAAGACAAAAAATGTAAATAAGCTCATGTGTAAATCAATGTGTATAAGCTAAGGAAAGAAAACAGGATAAACCCAAACTAAATCCTCATTAAGTTTCCAATTTGAAATTTTAAAGAACAAATTTTGACCCTGTAGTATTCTCTCACATTTATATTACTTTTTTAACCAGAGAGATTGTGATATCAATATCAATTGCTAGGTATTTTAGATGCTTGATACCATGAAAATATTTTATGTCTGAATTTTCAAATTGTTAATCAACAAATGTCTATTGAAAGCCCTATTTAAATTAAAAGTTTTGCAAAAGTCTCAGGAAGGTGGGTACAGTTTCTTTGTGAACATTATTCTTTTTGTCTCAAGATATTTTTAAACCCTGTTTTTTTAAAGTTTAAGGTCCGTCTGTCACACGTTCATTTTATCTTTGGTCATTGACTGCCGTGTTTTCTGATCCCTCGTCAGATGCATAAAAGCGATGTCACAGTGGTGGTGTTTTTCATAATGCCTGCCAAGACAAATAACTTCAATGTGGAAACCCTGAAAGGCCAGGCAGTGCGAAAGCAGCTGTGGTAATCTCATGTCTTATAAACGTTCTCAAACAAGAAATGTAAAGGCTTATTTTTACATGCATGATTTCTGATATAGTTCCCTAAACTATTTTTCCTTAAGATTATTATAGGATAAATCCTGCTTGGATCTCTTCTCATTGCCCTATGATGTTAGATTATGTAATGGCTATACAACTGTGTTACTATAAAACTTTGGAATATGCTACCATGAAAGGATAAAGCCTCTGCAGAAATCTTTTTTTTTATAATATATTTTTATTGATTTCAGAGAGAGAGGAAGGGAGAGTGAGACAGAGAGGAGAAACGTTAGTGATGAGAGAGAGTCATTGATGGGCTGCCTCCTACATGCTCTCGACTGGGCATCGAGCCCGCAACCCGGGCATGTGCCCTGACTGGGAATCGAACCTCGATCTCCTGGATCCTAGTTTGACTCTCAACCACTGAGCCATGCCTGGCCGGGCTGTAGAAATCTTTAAAGATGGGTTGAATTAAAAAAAAATTAGTGTGGAAATATAAAAACATATGTCGAAGTAAAGAAATTAGTATAATGACTTCTTACATGCCTATGGCCCATATTCAGCAATTATTGACCCTTTCCCAATCTTGTTACACCTATACCTACACCCACTCCCCCTCCCAGTCCTCTGCCCTGCCCTGAATATCCTCAAGCAAAAAAAAAATACGTGTTAAGCTCTGTGGGCTGGTCAGGGGTTTCTGCTGCCTCGGCTCTGGAGGTTTTAACTCAGGCTAAACTGGCAAACGCAAACATAATAGAACAGGCTATACAAAAGAGGCAAGTAATTTCAACAGTGCACTAACAAAACAACAGCATTATCATGACAAAGATTTAAAATTGTGACACTGTTTAAATTATAAATATTTTTCTTGCATCAGGGACATTGCACATTCTGTGAAGGAAAAGTTTGGAAAGAAACTCTATGACGCCTTGTTAAGGTAGGTGCTCCGGACACTCACCAGGTCAAACATTTGGGGGTCACTATTCAAAACAAACTTGGCAGGTTTAGTGCTACAGTGTATTTGTGTTGTTCCAAATATAAAGGAATTAGTAACCTTCCAAGATGTGTGACATCATGTCAGTAGGTTTTCTTTCACCCTTCATCTGACAAACACTTGTGAACAGGTCCTACAAAGAACATATTTATATATGCAGAGAGGTTCTAATTCAATGAGAATCTCATTAAATGTTAATATGCCAACCTGAAGCTGAGACAGTTCATGAGATGTTAAGTGAAAACATATGTATATTGACTTAATATAGTAAATATATTGGCTTATAAATTAAATTGGAATATATTTATAATTAACATATTAATTAATATTAATCTAGATGTATTTACATAATAAATAATAAATGACATATATATAAATATATAGATGCAATAAAATCTAAATAATAAGATCAAATTAAAATGTATTATAAAATAATAATAATATTAAAACATATGAATTTTGCTGTGATATGAAGAGAAAGCTGTGTTGTTTCCTGACCCATGGTGGCAGGTGAGCATCATTTCTCTTTATCAATTTATAGATGGACAAGTAATGGCCAATTTAGAACACAGTACTCAGAAATAGGCAAAACATTATAAGAGCATCCCCCTGACGGTCAGCATGAATGCTATAAAAATGAATTTTGATTTCTTATGCTATTTTTTTATATCCTCACCTAAAGATGTGCTTATTGGTTTTAGATAGAGAGAGAGAGAAACATCAATATGAGAGAAAAACATCAATTGGTTTCCTCCCAGACCCACCCCGACCGGGGATTGAACCTGCAACCTAGGTATGTGCCCTGACCAGGAACCAAACCCACAACCTTTTTGGTGCACAGGAGGATGCTCCAACCAGCTGAGCCACCGGCTGGGGCAGTGCTATCTTTTATCAAACTTCTCCACACTGTAGGAATTTGTCTGTGAGCTTCATCAGGAAACAGTTTACTTTTATTCTTAAAGTGCTTAGAACAGTATCTGACAGATAGGAAGCACTGAATTAGTGCCAGTTGTTTGTTTTTATTATTAATATTGTTTTTCCCACAGAGGAGAAATTCCTGATATGAACAATATTTTGGATCGAGATGATATAACAATTATGAAAAGAGCCATCTTTTCAACTCAGGTAGTAAAGAAAAAAGTGCCTATCACTTCCCGTAATTGTTAAAATCAATTTAGATCAATATTTTAATTTACTGGAATGGGCTAATTTGGGAAATTTTTAAACCCGAGTGCTAGAAAAGTCATTCTTATGTATTCACCTAAATGACAACTTTGTATTCTCTTTTATGCGTGGTTTTCAGGGCTCCTTTTATAAATCTCAAGGAACTTGTCTTTGTATCCAATTTAAAAATTCATTTCATACTTAGTTGGCAGGGGAGATACCATGATCCCAAAGGTGGTTTTCCCAGGGTGAGGCTCACCCATTTCATTCTGGGTGTGCTGACCCCGTGATTTCCCCAAATGTGGGAAACTCAACTGCATGAGTAGTGGGGGACTGTGTTTGTGCTCTCCCTGGCACCAAAAAAAAAAAAAAAAAAAAAACATTTAGAACTGTTATATCCAATTGAAAAACTGTGCATATTGCAATGACAACAAAAGCCTAAATTTTCAAACAGCATAGAATTTTGAGTTACAAAGAGAAAAGGTGAATGTTTCTCAGGCAAGTGGAATTATTGCAGAGAAGAAAAGGTAAATGTTACATTAGGCCTACACCCAAATCTCTTCCTAATCGTGAGGCATCAGGCACTGGAGGACAGCCCCACCGGAAGGATCCAAAAGAGTAGCTCATTGAGTCAAGATTTCAGGACACTCTTATTCCAAATAAGCCCCAGGAGCAGGCAAGATGTCTTGGCCTTTCACATAGTGGCTTCAGGTGAAAAACCAAAGTATCATGTGTTCACAATAGCCACAGGCAGCGCTTCAACCCCTTATCCTTCTCTGAGACACACAAAACTTTGTCATCCTCATTAGCGCCTTCTCAAGAGGCTGGAGGCAGACAGGTAGGGTGTCGCCAACGACCTATTGTTGAAGTTAGTCACACATTAATTCTTTGCACAATTGACATTTCCTTTCGTTACTTCAGCGACAGTCTTTGCCTCCAGTGACCACTCACAACATGATTGATGACTCCACTGACCCCATCCTCAGCACCATTAGACGGATCGGACTTTTCAACAGCCGCACAGACAGAGTCAAGGTAGAACTAAATGTTGCTCTAGGTCACTTCAAAATGACAGATATATTTACTGAGAATTTATTAGAAGCCTCTCGTATTTGTCTTAACAACTATCAAAAATATTTTAAGTATTTCTAAAGAAAATTAATTTTGTTTCCTGTCTTGGGTAATTAAAACGTAATGACTATTTTGCTATCATTCTTGAGAACTGAAGAATATTTAGGGCTTTGAGCCATAATTCTAACATTTATTTTCACTGTACAATCTGTCAGCCTCAGGAGATTAAATATTTTCTATTTAAATGATTTAAATATTTTCTAAGAATTAACAAATCTCTGAGATTACATGAATTGTCTTTGTTTCTTTCTGATAAAGTTCAACTTAAAAGGAAAATATGAGAAGCTTTTAGTTTTAGAGAATGTGACTAACGATGTTTTTATGTAATTTTCTATAGACCAATTTATATTTTGTACTCTTTTCTGCAATGACTAGGCACAGTGCTAGTTGCATGAATAAGACCTGGTTTCTACGACTGTGATACCTAACCTCTGTGACGTTTACTGAGGGCCTCTTATGTTCCAGGCATTTGCTAGGTGTGGTTGGTATTGGTGAACATGTCAACAAATGATTGCTTAACCCTCCTCAATTTCATTCACCAGTATTCAAGATCAAGGTGTCACGAGCTTTTACCAATCTTTTCAAAGGTCTCCCTTTCCCTTCCTTCTTTCACCTTTAGCAGATCACGTCATTGAGAATTCAAGGAGTATAAACTTCTTCGGAGTCCCTCCATACTGGCCTCAAAGATCGATTTTTAACCTATTCTTGCTTCCTTTCCTTGAGGTTCTGAGGGTTTTTATGGGAAGTCATTTCCTCCCACATTCTTGGGAAACTTACCCTGTTTACCCTCTCTTAAAGTGCAGGCAATGAAAGACAACTCTTTTCCTTGCTGTTTACAAATATTCTTTTAATTTCTCCGCATTCAAAAGAAAAAACAACTTTTATTTAGTCCTTGATATACACATGGGTGGATGTAGTAGAAGGAAACAAATTAAAGACAGACTCACTGCAACAGTCCAGGCGAGGGGTGATGAGGCCCCTCGCAAAGGCCGCGTCAGATTTACTGGAGAGGGTGAAACAATGGGAGAGATGGTTGCACTTAGAAAAGATCACGCTTAGTGACCAATGGGCTTTGGGAGTGAGAAAGAGACAGAAGGCAAGAATAATAGCCTTCTGGCTTCAGTATTAACCTATACTTTCTAAATATTAAGGAAAGGCTTTAACAGAAGTTGGTTTGAAGGTCGTGTCATGAATTGAGTTCAGTTTTTGATAGAATGAGTTTGAGTTACCTGTGAGATATTCAAGTTGATATGTTAAATAATTACTTAGAAAACATAGGTATGGGGTTTACAAAGATAGTTGTGAATGGAGCTATCAGTGCATGGATGGTAGTGGAGACCAGGGCACGACCACCCTGCCATGCTGGAGACCAGGCTGAATGACTGGAGATTTATTTAAGAGGGGGATTATACGATGAAAAGCCAGCGAAAGAAAAAGCAGAGAATTAGAAGTGAAAAATATTGCAGAAATTAAAAAAAACTCTCTTGATAGTAAGAGGAGCTCATAATGCAGCATTAAATGATTCAAACTATTTATTTATAAAATGTTCCATGCTGTGTTAGCCTTTTTATTTCAAACATATTCTACACACACACACATACATGCATATATATGGGCCATACAATTATGAGTGGTTTGCATTTTCTCATTTGTGTTTCTGCATTTCCAAAATTTTCAACACCTAGCACCCCCCCAATAATAAATAGTCAGGCTACAAAATTTTCCCTGGAAATGTAGGAATGAGGAATGTCTCTGCCAAAGATACCCTTCCTTAACGTTTTTAAGCAGGACTGGATCCACAGAGACTCATCACAGAGTGTATTAACAGTGCTTGGCCTCCTCATATAATTTATCCTTGACTGGTTCTTCTTTATATATATATATTTATTTATTTATTTATTTCCTTTCCAAGAGAATATATATATATATTTATTTATATATATATATTTATATATTTATATATATATATATTTATTTCCTTTCCA